AAAACTGGGCTAATGAAGACCAGCATATATTCAAATTCCAACTGCCAAGGGATCTTTTACGTGCATGCCAATATGTACATGGGACCTCGTTTTTTTGTCCCATCCAAACGACTAGACAACTGTCCTTGTCAGGCCCTCCCTCCGCCCTGCATCACTGACAAGGGGAAACCCCGCCGAAAAATCTGGATGAACTTTATCGGCCAATGCAGGGATCGAACACCCGACCTCCAGGCTAACGAGCCAGCGTCTTACCCACTTAGCCATTTAAAAGAGAGAGAGGATTGAATGTCCACTTAACCAAGCTAGGTCAAGTTGGGACTGACATGTGGTTCAACTTTTTTCAATGAATTGCTTTTTAGTAGTGGTTTTCAGCAGTGGGATGAAATTGGAGGACCGTGAGAAAACCCACAAGGTTGGACAAGCCACTCTGTCATATGGTTCAATTTTATTTCAATAATTTGTTTTCATGTAGGACAGGTCACCCAACTTGACTCAATGACAGACTTTGTGCTCTAAAGTGCATGTATTAAACCATTCGGACACCCATCCACCCTCCCACCCTCCACTTAATCACTTATAATGGTGATGTTACAGTTAATTTAATGGTGAATAGATCTATAATTATAGATATATAACTGTACTACATGCTGTCTACTCTTGTTGATTACATTAGCTATATACCGGTAATACCTGAACCATAGAGAGAGAATGTCTGCTCAAATACAATTACATACTCTTGTAACACACTGCCTGCACTATTTGTATGTTATACAACAGGGTTCCCGCGGTCCTTGAAAATCCTTGAATATCCTTAAATTTAAAATTTCATTTTCAAGGTCTTGAATATCCTTGAATTTCGCGGAAATAGGAAAATATCCTTGAATTTCTGTTGAGATCCTTAATTTTGTTTCAAATGTCTTCAATTCCTTTTAAATATGAGATTATAACGATAGTTGGTAATGTTTTGGTTATTTTTAAGATGAAAAATTGTAACTTTAGGCTAAAAAATGTCCTTGAAAACCCTTGAATTTAGATGTATATTTATCCTTGAATATCCTTGAAAAAAAGTTTGACGAAGCCGTGGGAACCCTGTACAAGACTATCATTCTGTTTGGGGGTGTCCGCATTGCATCACAAGGTCTGTCATTGAGTTTCCACACCCCACTTGTACATGAGAAGGAGTAGGGTCACCTGTCCAACCCTCATGGGTTTTCTCCGGGTCCTCCAGTTTTCTCCCACTGCTAAAGACGCCAATGCAAGTGAATTATTGAAATAATTTTAGTTCAGAAATGGCCTAGTTTGTGTTGAGTGGATGTTAAAATGCCATCTCTCTCTCTCTCTCTCTCTCACACACACATCAAAGATTTGATATTATTGATGTATATAAGTAATTAGACTGTAAAATACACTGAGAGGTGTATAAATACTGACATGGTATTATTATGTTAAAGTGCCATCTCTCTCTCTCTCTCTCTCTCTCTCTCTCTCTCAATCATTCAATTTACTGACAATCATTATTTTATATTTGTTTTGGTCTTATGTTGATTAGGAGCTATGAATGATGGCTTGCTAAACCAGAGTTTAAGTGTTTGATTCATGCATTGGCCAAGAAAGTTTATCAGGATTTCCTAGCATGGTTCCTCCTCGTCAGTGGTGCAGGCTGGAGAGTCTGGCAAAGGACAACATATAGCCAATCTGATGGGACAAAAAAACGAGGTCCTGTGTACACATTGAGAGGTGGAATTAAATATAAGAGTAGGCTATAGCGCTACTGTCTGGGCAAAATTTACCTCATAGCACACTGTATAACGTATGTGCAGTCTTCGTAATTAGTCAAGTTGGACCAGAGCACTACAGTAGGACACTAAACCCCATTTCATTTCTTATGTTGATCTATTTTTATCTAGAAAATCCTGCGACCCCCATTGAGGTGGTCCTCGCAAGTCTTTGAGACTCTTATTGATAAATTAACAAATAACTCAATCTTTTCAAACTAAATAATATAATACAATGTGTATAATAAAAGGGACATCTCTCTATGTTATACCTGTGTTAAAAGTTAATTAAGGTATATTGCCCTGGGGGTTAATCAGGTAATGGAAATAATCACCTGTGCGATATCTGTCAGCCACTCATCCTCTATTTACAGGTGTTAATACATAGCTCAATTATAGGCTTACATATAGTCTCTCACAACCAGATTCAATACAATATAATATCATTATGTGAGTCTTGTTAAACGTGACTACTCGATCCCTGCATATTACTTTATGTACTTGATGGCCTTTGACCTTATCAGTTCATCACTGGACTCTGGGAAGACAAACATACCACTATCCCTTATTAAAACAAAAAACTCACCAAATTGATTAGGTATGCAAATGATCATGTCATGCATGCAGCAGAGTGTGCTCTTTCAAGAACACCTTATACCATTTTTTATTCAAAGGGTGACTATTATTGTTGTACATTTGAATTAGGCAATTTTATTTATCTTCACTTTGATTATCAAACACAGAAATTCCAGCTGCAGATACAACCAGACATAGTAGTTCTGTTTGTGAATGGGTCATTCTGGCTATTAAACTGGTGGAGGAAAGAACAGAAAACTCATGAGGTTAGGCAGTTGACCTAGTAGTTCCTTGTGATTTCTCATTCCACTCATGTACGCATTGGTAAGCACGTAAAAGAACACTTGACATGTGGAATTTGTGAAGAGTACTTCCCGCCATAGCATGTAACCAGCATGGGTATAGATACACCACCATCTGTCATACTTTCCAACATAGCATGTACACAGCATGGGTATAGATACACCACCGTCTGGCATACTTTCCAACATAGCATGAACACAGCATAGTCAAACACCACTGTCCAGCATATTTCCCCCATAGCATGTACACAGCATAGTGTATAGATACACTATTATCTGGCATACTTTCCCTCATAGCACATACACAGCATGAGCATAGTGTGGGGGGGTTGGATGGCTGAATGGTTAGCACGTACGCGCTGTATCATAAAGTCTGTCATTGAGTCAACTAGCGGGGTTCCTACAAGGAGTAGGATTGCCTGTCCAACCTCGTGGGTTTTCTCCGGGTCCTCCGGTTTCCTCCCACTGCTAAAGACCCCTACGCGCAAGCGAATTATGGAAATAAAATTGAACCATATGTTAGTCCCGAAATGACCTAGTTTGTGTCAAGTGGACGTTAAATCCCATTTCTCTCTCTCTCTGAGCATAGTGTATGGATACTCATCTTCACTACATTATGTTGCACTGCAGTTAATCGCTCTGAGATAGAATGTCATTGTTTTTTACTATGAGGAATAGTTTCTCATATAGCCCTGAGGTTTATTTGTTAACAAAAATGGGAAAAGGGACATTGTAAAGTGATTATTTTTAACAAGTAATTATAACCAGTACTTGAAAGTCATTTGAGGCAGACTTCAATATGTGAAAGTTGTAAGCCCTATCTCTAAAAGAAATATCAGTTCAATAATGGCTCATATCAGTTCCATTCAGTATTTATAAAGAAATTTAAGAATTGAAAATTTGGCAACATGTGTCATCCACTGCAGCTCAGCCAGCACCATCTATGTGTTTTGTTAAATCTTTGATGGGTCTCTTTTTAATTTTTAATCTGAATGAATCCAAGCTGGGAAATTATCTGCGACTGATATTTTGATTTTGTTTTCTTAAACATACATTATGCAAGATCTAAATCTGATTATTGCAAGTCTTTATTTAGGCTTCAGATGTCATAGAAACTATAAATTAGATCTTTATTTACACAAAAAGTACAAAATCAACTCTGTAGACCCATAGATGGCTTGGATACAGTTTGGATTTAAACAGTCCTCCATTTAAAATTAAATCAATAAATGGCGGACCAAGCTAACGTTTACCGTTAGTCGCTGATGTCACTACTAGAAACTGGTGATGAACGGCCTGCCATGTGAGGCTACAATAGCCATTGAGCATGTTACTTGATAATTGAGAATACGTGGGTGGAGTTATCGTCTGTCAAACGATCACCAATTCTCATAGACAGTGCAGATGCAATTGATGCCTATTTATAGTCCAAACTTCCAACAGTGACAATTCCGTTCAGAAGAAAGTAATTTGACTGAAATTTTCTTTTTTTACCATCTATTTTTTAATTATTATAGCAAGAATGGCCAACCCTTTTTATAAAACTCTTAACTAATGTATCTTTAAATAGGCCCTAATTAATTTAGGGCACATTTCAATTTATATTAAGTCATGGAATTTTTGATATTTTCGGAAAAGTGCAAATGAGGTACAAAGACTTTAGAAGTGATAGTAAATAATGTCTCAGATGTATCTGTAGGCTAGAAAATTTAAAACCCAACACTAACAATTAAATCAGTTAAAAATCTGAACATACTACCACAATTCCTTCAGTGTTACAAATTCTTTAAATCTTTAAATAATGATTTGTGCTTAAATATGACATTTTTAGAATGTATGTTTAGTTATTCTTTTGATAATTATCGCATTAATAAACATTAAACAAATCTATGCAATTGGCCCCCTTTATACGTCTTCGAATCACACAATCACAAACATTTTCCCATACATACAATCTTTAGCTTATACTTCTTTCAAAAATCATAATCTTTTTATAACCATCTCTTGACAATACAATCATCTGTCCTACAATATGGATGTCCAGTTTTAGTCGGTTTTTGATGATATATTTTCATCCCCTTTTTTTCGCAGTTTTCTTTGAGTGTTGATCTCTGATTCATGTTTTTCTTTATGGCAATATTATGAGTAGTCTCGTTCAGGGTGACAATTTGTAGCCATTGTAAGTGAGAGATATACCTAAGTGTGTTCAAACTATTCACACTAATGAAAAGAGTTTTTCGCCCCAGTGCTGAAATTATTGAAGTAGTTTTGTATACGCTTGACTGGTTGAGGTGGTATAATAGGGTATTGAGAGTATTATTGTGCGAGGGCCTGGCTTTACCTTATTCAAATATTCGTCTAGATATATGAGCCAACCACCTAGATCCTGTCAACATTCTCCACATATATATACAACTTACATTACTAGCAATACGATGTGGATTTTTATACTTACGACATCTCAAAGGTAAATCTTCATGTTAATTTAACAATCGGTCATTTCTTAAAATCTATTGTTCTAATACAAAAACTATATTTTGTTAAAACAAAACTTAAAAAGGTGTTCATAATTTTGTGTATGTATATTTGTTTATTTAGCACCTTAAAGGTAATACTCATACCTGTTTGAGCCGCTGCCCGGGCAAAATTTCCCTCATAGCACACTGTATGGCGTATGCCCGTCTTCATTAGCCCAGTATAGGAGCAGAACAGTAGGACGTTAAACCCCATTTCATTTCATTTCATACCTGTTTGATTGTTGTTTATTTCCCATCATAATTTTTATACAAAACATTCAAATTGTTTATGAAATTCTGTTAAAACAAAACTTATATTGTTCATATTTTGGTGTAGGTGGATGGCTGAATGGTTAGCACACGCGTGCTGTATCATACAGTCTGTCATTGAGTCAACTGCGGGGTTTCGATTCCCCGGTTGTACGTGACAAAGAGTAGGGTCGCCTGTCCAACCTCGTGGGTTTTCTCCGGGTCCTTTGGTTTCCTCCTACTGCTAAAGACCCCTACGGGCAAGCAAATTATTGAAATAAAAAAATTAAACCATATGTTAGTCCCGAAATGACCTGGTTTGTGTCAAGTGGATGTTAAACCCCATCTCTCTCTCTCTCTCTCTCTCTTATGTATTAGGTCATTTGTTATTCTTTTTCCTAGTTTTAATACAAAACATCCAATTTATGGTTGAAATTGTTCATATATTTGATGTATATAGGTTTGTTTATGAAGCACCTTAAGGGTTTCATTCTCATACTTTTTTTGATTGTTTTTTTATTTCTTTTCCTAATTGTTTATTCAAACATTCAAATTGTTCATATAATGACTGGTATGTCGGTGTAGGTAGTTTTGTTTATAAAGCTTCTTAAAGATAATTCTCACATTGACTGTTCAATATTCTCTATCCAAGGTCAATCAAAACAAATTATTGTTCAAGTTGTTCAAACTGCATTTTAAGAATGTTGATTACGTTACATTTAAAGTTAATTTGACAGTTCATCAATTTCCATCCAAACTCTTTAAGGTAATTTGACAGTACATCAATTTCCATCATAATTTTAATACAAAACTTGCAGCAATGCTTAATGGTGTTTTTCATATAGTTTAATGGATTAGGAACAAGCAACTTAAAGGTACATCTTATCATTGATAGTGTGTGTGTGTGTGTGCCTCTGGATGGGGAGGAGGAGAGAGGTACAAAAATTTTAGATTCTTAAATTTGTCAAAATGGTATTGGATGGGGATATGGAAATTTTAGAGTCTTAAATTTGTCAATATGGTATTGGATGGGGATATGGAAGGCACATTGCCTCACTCCTCTCTCCCCACAAACTGTCTTTTTTTCTTTAGATATCTAAAAGAGCATTATTTTGTATGATCTAGTGAGGTATTGGTTATGTCTGGAAATAATGTAGAGGGTAGATTATAATAGTACCCAGTTTACATCACACAAAAAACCCCAAACACCTGAGGTTCTGAACTTAGAGATTCCTTTGTAAATGAAATTAAAAAAGAAGAAATGTTAGTTCTAAAAGGAGGATTATGTTTAGTTTCAGAATTACTGTAGTGTTTTTAGAAGACATTAAATCTTCTACTTTACCAATAAATCATTCTTATTGTTGGTAAAGAAAATTCTGATGGATTTTCGAGCAGTTTCCTTTTGTCTGTGGTGTAGGACGAAGCGCCCGACAATAAACAGTGGTGGCGTTGGCGGAATGATTTGATGTGTGCACGTTGAATCACGAGTCGGTACGTGACAAGGAGTAGGATCGCCTGTCCAGCCTCATGGGAATTCTCTGTGTCCTCCAGTTTCCTACTACAGCTTAAGACCCACAAGCGAATTATTGAAATAAAATAATTGAACCATGTGTTAGTCACGAAATAATGTAGTTTGTGTTCATTAGTTTGTGTCAGATGGAGGTTAAATTCTCTCTCTCTCTCTCTCTCTCTCTCTCATACACATCCTACCAAACACCTCAAAGGTTTGACATTATTGATGTATATTAGTAATTAGACTGTAATATACACTGAGAGGTGTATAAATACATGACATGGTATTATTATTAAAGTATAAATACGTAGTAGTATGTAATGTTATGTCATTGTGGATCGTGTTATCTACTTTATCTGGATTATGTCTGTATTATTGCAGTAGGTTTTACACATTCTTGACAGCTCATTCTGTTCTGGGTTGTTTCAATTTTCTAATTTAAGTTCACAAGTCAAAGTATGCTTACTCCGGAACATCTGATACACTTAATTAATTATTTATTAGCCAGGTTTTGAAATCTGCTGTAGCTTAATTCAAGCCTATGAAGTCCCTTGTCAACTTTGTAAATGTCAAAAACCCTTTTGTCTAAAATTGATATCTAATATCTAAAAAAGAATTAACTGGTAATTAGTTTAATTAAATAGAGTTTTGAGGAAACTGGATGTAAAGTGAATGGTAATTATGATCTATGTGCTATCTACATTATTGAAGATGTAAGAAATAGAAATCAGAATGGAAAAGGGGATACTCGATTCAATCGATTGAGTATTAACTGATACTGAAATTTCAGCCAACAAGAATTGCAGCCACTCAATGGTGGTATCCTGACCAATCACCCTGAAACATTTGATTATGTCACTTAATTCCATGTCATTTGATTGCAATTCCATCTTTTTGAACTTTTTGACTCAACAAGTGTAAGCACCCCCAAATATAGTCCAGTGCAGTTGAAGGCATACATAGACATTATCCTCTTTGGTGGGAGCAGAACAAAAACAACAAATAGCTTCATTTTTAGTCTAACACAGAGTAATAATGATTTTAAATTCCTCTCTGCTATCTAAGTTATTCAAGAGGTACACATGCATTATCACCTTTAGTCAGAGCAGAAAGAAAGAAGAATAGTAAGCCACATTTTAGCCTTTATTTTAATTTTAACCACGTCATTGCCTTTAGTGAATAAAGAAAGAAAGAAGAACAAAAAAGCTACATTTTTTAGTTTACTGGTACACTTTGAAGACATTTTTTAGTCTATTGGTACACTTTGAAGACATAGAGGACTATATGTGAAAATGACAGTTCATATCACTCCAGTATTTGTCTGGCTTCTTGTAGTACTGATGATATAGGTATATGTCATCATGATCTCGTACTTATCCTGTACTTATCTTAAACTCATTCTCAAATACAATTACTTCATAAATATTGATTTGCTACTTCATCTCATCCATGTTTATAATTACCTCAGTCAATACTTCAACCTCAAAGTTATTCTACATTTACATAAACTTTCAACAGTGGTCTGTACAAAAGTCAGATATTTATTAAATTTGTAATCTGATTAAGACACAGATCCTATTTCGTTTTGTTTTTTATCGTTCAAAACTTTGTTTTACTTGTCTTTACTACTCTAGGATTTGGAAGAGTTGTTATGTAACAGGCGTTCTACACGTACAGTGGTCTGTAGAAAAGTCAGATAGTTATTAAATTTGTAATCTGATTAAAACACAGATCCCATTTCGTTTTTCGTTTTTTATAGTTCAAAATTTTGTTTTACTTGTCTTTACTATACTAGAGTTTGGAAGAGTTGTTATCGTTGATGTGTTCTGCATGATGTGAGGGTTTAAGCAATGAAATGGTCTGTTATAGTGAGCTCTTGGTGCACGGAACTGTGGGTAATCCACTAGAAACATCAATGCTGATTGGTTAATCAAATGTCTGACGTCATAGGGTCAAAAGCTGCTCGTATGACCTCTGACGCGACCTATCACTACAACCGGTCAGATCTTCATGTATAGTGTAGGCCATCAAAAGTATAAAAAACGAAACGAAATATAGATCTGTATTTTAATCAGATTGTTAAATTTGTTGCAGCTGTCTATGTGTAAATTGTGCATTTAGATGCACAATATGAATTAATGTCATTGGGATGGGGTGGGCGGATGGCAGGGCTACCAAGGAAGGAAAATTTAGGTCCATCAATGTACATGTTTTGGAGCAAGTAAAAGAATACTATAGCATTCCTGGCAAAATTATCCCTCCCCACCCCACCTTATTGAGAGCCATAAACGTTATGTTAGTCTAAAAAAAAACATGGTGACGACTCAATGTTAAAGGAGGCAAGTCACTAACTCAATATCATCCACAGTCTTCAACATTGAAAACACGAGTTGTTAGTCAATTCAAATCAACATTGATATTGTTATCTTACCGTGAAAAGTTGGGCTTCTGATACCCAATCTTTAAGACAGAATGAAAATTTTGAAATCAGAACATGAATTGCATGCCAGAATGCTTTCGAGCGCCATTTGTAATTAAGTGATCGATGAACGTGGCGAAAAATATACCACTCTTCGCGTATTTCGCCGAACATAACAGATTGAAAATTACAGTAAAAACAGAAACCACTGAATGTAAATCAGTTTATATGCATTCATATTACATAATTAGATGCGTTGCAACCTATTTATATCCATTTCTTAGGTGCCAAAGAATAGCGATTTAGCTTCTTTAAACTCTTATTACCCCGAGTAATAAAATAATTTCATGTTAGTCTCAAAATAACCGGGGTGGGGGTGGGGGGATGGATGGCTGAATGGTTAGCACGCGCTCGCTGTATCATAAAGTCTGTCATTGAGTCAACTGGCGTGGTTTCAAATCTCCCGTTGTATGTGACAAGGAATAGGATCGCCTGTCCAACCTTGTGGGTTTTCTCTGGGTCCTCCTGTTTCCTCCCACTGCTAAAGACCCCTACGCGCAAGCGAATTATTGAAATAAAATTAAACCATATGTTAGTCCCGAAATGACCTATTTCGTGTCGAGTGGACCGAGTGGACGTTAAACCCCCTTTCTCTCTCTCTCTCTCAAAATAACCAAAGCACAAAGCAGCATAGTGATGACTCAATGTTAAACTCTTACTACACAGAGTAATAAAATAGTTCCCTTATAATCTTAAAATCACCAAAACAC